ACTTGACCCTAACTATAATTACCTCAACTACAACTTAACTACCAGGGATCCCTTAACCCTTAGTGCTTTAAAGCAACAGTAATTACAAAAATTCAACAATTAATCAACATATAATGTATAATAATCTATAGGCTTAAAGTCATATAGTGTTACACAATTAACCATTTTAATCCAATGATTGCATATTAATGGTGCGCTAGGTATCTTGGTTGTGTATTAAATTTTCCAATTTAGACTTTGAGTAAGCTAACTAAAGTATGATGTTACCTATGCGACTCATGAAAAACACTTGTAAGAGATATTTAATGATGGGTGCCTATAAATCTATGTGAGCATTAGTTAAAGGAAGGTTAGTGTTTGGCTAGGTTGTGTTTACACATGTGATGGTAAACATGCAATAGTTGTAAGGTTTATTGTGAATGATAAATCAATCAAAAGAATGGGTTAATTATTTGACGATATTAATTAGCAATGTTTGATTGTTATAAAAAAGATACCATTAAGAGTTAATGTTAGTGTCAAAACTTGATGTCAATGATGTACTAGGCATTTTGATAAATATTTTTTAGTGCTTTTGTTCTCTTTAAGCTAATATTGTTTATGTATCATACATAAGGGCAAACAAAGGAAATTTAAGGGTAAGTTTTTCTAAAGGTCTATCTCAAGAGAAACAACTAAAATAACAATTTTCCTTTGTTAGCACTTAAAATATTATATTATAAAGAAATAATTATTTCTTACTTTTGTTAATTTCTTTGAAGATATTGAGTTTGGGGGGAGAGATAAGTTTAATTAACATTACATTTGAGGAAAAAATGTTCTAATTTATTAATAAATTCATATAGTTGCTATTAATATAGTGAATTCATATCATCATGACCATATATATGTTCTTTCTCCCATTCAAGATAAGAAAATTATTCATGAGGATCAAACTTAACTAAACAACTCTTAAGAACTTGAACATCATTAGCCAATATTTTTGTTCGATGATCCACTAAGGAAGAGATAATAATATTTTTTATATTTATTTATTATTTCCAGTGGAACATAAGGTAAATGATATAATGGAAGATGATTTTATCAACTCTTAAACCATCAAGAGTTTTGATTTAGAATAGTTGATTGAAACAATAAGCAATAAAACAAGCTTGTACTAGACAATAAGGTTTAGAACTTGTCCCATTACCTAAAGATATCAAAGGGTAATATGGAGAGATACAAGGCTTGTCTAGTGGCTAAGGACTAGTCTTAAAAGAAAATTTGGTAACTTAGGAAATTCATAAGTTTCCTTATAATTTAGCTATGGAGAGAGTAATTCATGACCTTATTTGTATGCGTCCATAAATGGCCTACAGAGTATGATCATTTGATTTATACTCAAGCAATTCAAGTATGAATTATTAAAAAAATATTCATAAGGATTATTAAAGAAAACAAAAGTGAATATGCTCACAAATCAAAGATTCGATAGTTTAGAGATCATTAACAATTTTGATTGATTTTTCATGATGTCAATATAGCTGGAATCTAATCAACTAACTAAGGACTTGACATCTAAGGTATCTCACAAACATGTTGCTCATATGGGTATTGTCTTTATGGTTACCTTAGTTTAGTGGAAATATTTATTTATGTTCTATGTTTTGATACAAACATTATGTTATATTTGGTTTTAAGCAAAAAAAAAATTATGAGTTAATTAATCATTTTTTTCGTATCATGTGTGTGCAAAAAAAAAAATTCCCTTGAGGATTTTGGATTTGTTCTTACTAAAAGAATAAAGATTGGACCAATTGGAAATAGGCATAATTAAGATCATATTGCATGTAATTTCCATGTTGTTCATCCATATTGATCCATATGACATTTAGTGTGGATGTGGTGGTCATTAGAGTCTAGTTGCATTTTATGTTAATGACTAAAGTCACAATGGTTCCATTATTAATATATGAGATGTACCAAATTGTTTGAGTGTAAGTCTAAAAATAAATAACATATAGATGCATGACTAATAAATTGTGATATAATTGTTACAATATGTAGCCCAATTGGAAGATTGTTAGAATTTTATATTCCAATAATTAATTTGGGCTAATATTATAAAACATTTATATTATTTATTTATCATAGTGAGCTTTATATTATATGATCAAATTAACCGAGTCCGTTAAACTACTAAATTAGATGATATAGGCTTAAATGAGTAAATGTCAGTGTTGGTCCATTAGGAAATAATGAAAACCATTTTAGATTAACACACTATAAGAAGATATAATTCGCATTATATTGAATCACATGAATAGAAAACTCGTACTCTCTTATCCCCTTTAGAAGAGAGACTACGATCCCATTAGGGAGCTCAAAAGGTTTGGTTGACGAAGAACCACAAGGTCACTGATTCTTTGTTCATGTTCATCACAACAATTATTGAAAATGCTTACATTACAACAAATGTTACATATAATGACATACAAAAAGTGTCACTATAGGTACAATATATGTAGGTATATATCTATTTGACATATAGTTACATGCAATTTTAATATTGATTTTAAATAGGATTTAACAACATATTTTGTGTGTCACTATAACCTATATATATCCACATTCTTTTTAATAATATACCAACATATATTATATTTATTGTGTGGATAAAAGTAGTTTTTAGTGACACATATTGTGTCACTATATAATTTTTTTATAGTGTTAATTCAAAAATTAACAATAATGACAGGTATTTATCTTATCCTTAATAATCATGTTGTAGATCCCAGAACTTTTGATGTTTTGTTCTAAAATATAAACCTATGAACCTCAACTTCTACACACATAATAAAAATTATTAAAATTAAGGATTAAATTTCTAACAAATCTCCCATGTACCAGCATTGCTAGAATGTGGTGGCAACCAGGGAGATAGATTGGTTCATCAAAATCACACTTAAAATTATAAACAAATAAAATAACAAAACCCACGGAATCACATTTAAGCATGTCAAATGTTATTTAAAAAGACAATCTTCCTTACTTTCATGATAGATGATAGTATAATATATATATATATATATATATATATATATCACATCGTAAATTAGTGTAAACACACATATATATATATATATA